TCAACCTTCCGTGTCTGGGCCTGAGGGCTTTGATGGCCCCACGCCCTGGCTTGCTTTCACTATTTTTTCTTTTTTCAGTTTGGAAAGTGAAATTTGTGCTGCTGGAAGGGATCAGACTAACCAGTCCTGGAGAGGTTAGCTCTCTACTAACCAGGCCTAGCCCAACGCCAGCTCTCCCAAACTGCCCCACATGTGCCTAGAACCTGACTCGCAGGGATACCCTCCCAAAGGAAGTTCAGTCTCCAGGTCTAGTCAGTCCTTGGGCTCACAGCTGAGACTTCTAAAAAGGAGGTCAGTTATTATGGTGGGTTTAGTGCTCAGGACTCTTGCCCAGGAGGGACAAGACCAATGACTTGTTTCATAGACCCCAGGATGTCAGAGAATAACAACTTTCAGTGACTGATGAACTGGGATGTGTTTGAACCAGTGACTTAGGTCAGAAACATGAAGGTGCCTTTTTACATGACCAGTTCCCAACAGTGCAATCACAGCTGGTTTTGGGGAACCCTGCCAGGCATGCCCTGAAGTTCAGATGTTTCCCTTGTGGATCAACGCCTGGAGAGCGACAAGCCTCTAACACGTCACTGAGACGAATTCTGAGTTTAAGTTAAAACTAATACGGTTCTCCTACGCAGGGCTGGATCGTCAGCTGGTGGGAACCATCGATTGACACCAGCTGAGTATGTGTCCCCTGGGTGTCTTTAACCTTACTTTTGCACTCCCCTTAACCCACTGCTCTAACTTATGCTGGCTGCAAAAGACCAAATTGGCCAAACTACAGCTGCAGGACTGATGCATGAAGGTGTCCTGGCGAGTAAATTGGCTCCATATCACTGGAAGATCAGGCTTAAATGGGGGTCACTCTGCCAGGCTCAGTCAATCAGTCTTTCAGACTAATTTTCACTGGCAGGGCAATGTAAAGCAGCCACACTGGCCCCTCCTCAGAATGAGTTAGCTTATATTAAGGAAAAACAAGCAAAGGAAGAACAAAAGTAAAGTCTCACTGGGAGTGAGCACAGTGTCTGCTCTGTAACATGCTGCCTCATCCTGCCTCGCAAAATGGCAGCTGCCACTGAAGACACCAATCTCCTGGGAACTTCAAGGTGCAATACACAGAAAACAGCCACCCGGTTGTACACAGCCCTGTAAGTATTGCTTAAAAGGAAAAGTTTACCCCAGAAAACTAGAGAAGTTCCTGCATCTTTTCAATAAAATGTTTCCAGCCCTCTCACAGATAACAGTGCGAGGAAAGCAAACACGCTTTACAAAGCCAGAAAGTAACCACCAGTCGACATATCACATCTCCTGCATGACTCATTCTGCTGCACGGGGTCTGCACAGGACTAGCCTGGCACGTTTGAGCTGCTGCCAAAAAGCAGGTGTTTTCACATTCTCGTTTTCCCAAGTAAGCATTACATCTATTCCCCCTGCTGTGTGCTCCGTACAACTCCAACCAGCAGCATGGTCCAGTGCTAACACACAGGGCTATGTGCAGATGTAGGGTCTATTCTCTCCCTATCACTGACCCAGTGTAACTGCACTTCTGTCTATCTAAGGTGCATATATGGCCCCCATAGCTGTATTGATCTCCTCACAATCTTTAATGTATTTATCCTCTTTCCACCCCTGGGACTAGGGAAAATACTAATGTCCCCATTTTACAGATGGGGAGTTGATACACAGATTTAGTGACTTGTCCAAGATCACATACAAAATCTGTGGTGGAGCTGACCCTTGGTCTCCGAAGTCCCAGGCTTGTGTTCTCACCACTGGGGGGAATAATGCTGCCCTACCTTAGCAACATGCTTCAAGCTACTGCCACAAATGCAAGTGCAAATAACATCACTGGAATCTTTAAATACGGTCACAGCAGCCTCTTACCTTGTCCAACCTCAAGCAGCAGAAAGGGGCTTTTACAGGTAGAAGGTGGCACAAAGTGGGAGAACTCCCAATATAGGGCGAGTTCGGGGGGTAGCCTTTCACATATCTGCAGAGGAGACAACATGCATCAGGGCACATGTATATTTTTCACACACAAGGAACACTTATTTGCCCTGGCAAACACATTTGTCCATACACAGACTGTTTAGAAACACTGGAACCTCATGGGTTTATGCAGATCACGCTAAGGATGTTTTATAAATTCTTCCAAAACAGCCTGGGAATTTTTCAAGATAAGTTTCTTTGAAAATACTTTTGCCATGCCCAGGCTCCGGAAATATCTTTTAAAGTCTTTGTTCTTATGGACAGCCAGAGAACTAAGCAGACTGTGGAAGATAAAGGCATCTAGCAACTTTTAACAGCAATGGGCCTGAACCTACATCTTAAATCTAAACAACACAGAATGGCAGAGCGTTCCAAGCCCGATTCAGATTCACAATCTCACAGCACATTTGTAGGTGGGTTTTTTTTAAACATCCTGGACATACTGTAATTTGTGTTTCTGATATAACGGAAGGAATAGAAAGCTTTTAGCTTACAAAGTAATTAAAAGTATACGTTAAATTATAAGCCAGATAAATTTGTGTGAGCATGGACACATGCATCTGCACAAATTGTTTATCTTGTAAGAACCAACACACACAGAAACACACACACACACACACACACACACACAAACACACACGATTTATTAAAGCCATGTCACAAATGAATGCAATGCCGACTGCTACTTTAAATGAATATTTTTACAGCTGGAATCAACATTTTATTTCCCTAATGATGGAGAATGCCGAATACAATCCCTTCGCTGCCCCGGAGGTAGCAGAGGAAAGGGAGCTGGTGGGAAAATTCTCCTTAGTCCACAAAGTGCTTCTAGCTCAGCGTGACTTATTCAGAGATCAAGGGATGCTTGTCCAAAACGGCAAGCAAGGAACTGTGAATAAGGCAAAACTGCTTCACCGTCAGTGCCTGAGAAGTTAATGTTTTGAACATACTGAACTGACCACATGGTGTTGCTCCAGCACCATTGTATTAACATCATCATCGTTGACGTAATTTCTGCTCGGCTCAGCATGTCATCGCGGATAACATTCAATCACAGTTTCCACAGCAATATAGCAGAAGCAGAGTCAAAACTATTAACGGGAGGTTAATTTATGCAAACGGGATTTTAGTGAAGGGTAAAATAATTTCATTGGGTTTGTTCTTCCACTCCACTGGGAAATGGGAAATACCAAGATGAGCCCTGCTGGCTATCTTAATAGACAGCACAGATCTGAGGACTTTTTTCGGTTCTCGCTGGTGATTCCTGCATCGCACTTCAGTACTGGTCTTGCTCTCTCGGAAGTCGAAAGTCCCACTGATTTTAACAGGACCAAGATCAAGGCCTTAGCAATGTGCTATCAATAGTATTATTTAACGTTCATATTATGGTCGTGCCCAGTGGACTCAATCGGGAACAAAGCCCCACGGCACCAGGGGCTGTGCATACAAGACACCGATTAACTGTTCAACTCTCGTGCCTGTAGCTTATCAGTAATAAACAAAAGACAGATGCTTTGTTACAGCGTCTGCAGGCAACAGCCAGGGGGGCCTCACCGGAGAAAATCCCTGATTCAAAGCTGAGCAGGATCACTACTCTCCCTTTGTCCGTCCCGGGGCAGACTAATGCTTTCTTGGTGTGTTTCACACAGGTGTAAATTAACACTGAAGTATATAAGTAGGAGTCATGAGAAAAATTGACCAAAGGAAAATTTAGTCTGGATAGCAGGAAAAATTCCCTAATGTTGAAGCTCATTGGGCTTTGTCTTCCCTACCCCCGATTCCTGCCTTCAGTCACTGCCGTCACTGCACTAGTACAAACTCCTAGTGCAAACCAGGAAAGCGGCACTTTATACTGGTGGAGCTTAACTCAGGCTGGGATGGTGGCAAATCCTCAGTGTAGCCAAGACTTTAGACTTTGGAATGGTGACCCAAGAGAAGTGATAGAAAAACCACTGCCCGGGTCACCTGAACTAAACCAGAGAAAACGTTCAACAATACACAGTGGGGAACCATGGTGCACTGGCTATGAGTTGGAGGAGACAGCCTACCTCTTAGGTCTCCTCCACCCCTAATTTCTATTATTCAAGCAGCTGCAACATGAGATCATTTTATTGCTGTACGTTTAACTGAGGTGTCCCTTGATGAAAAAGAAAAACCCCACAGAACACAGCTCAGATCGCAAATTCCCTTATATCTGATTTTATTGTTCCATAACTCCAATCCAGATAGGCAGGACTGTATGACTGTATTTTAGCGAGGACCTGTCTAGGCACGATTCCTCATTCCTTTTCCTTGCCACCCTGGGGTTGATCGAATTACCCGATGGCATCATACAGAGTAGCACCCTTCAGTGCAGGATCTTTGCTTTTAAAGATGCATGCTCAAAGATTGCAACGTGGTGCTTTTATAGCTCAAATATAGTTTATGCACCACAAATATTTCCCTTCTTTGAATAACTGCCTTCTGCAAGACTTCTTGCACCTTTCTCTGAAACAACTGGTGCAGACCACTGTGAGAAGCAGGCCACTGATCTGAGCCAGTCTGATCATTCCTATCTTTCTAAACCTCTCTCTTCTTTTGAACAACCTGCAGTATTTACTGTTTCTCTAACATAGGCTTACAACTATGTTCAATTTCCAGCAATTTCTGCATCTCTCAAACTTTTTTTTTGAGACAATCTTTAATTAAATTAAATTGAGATTTAGCTGAATACATGTGTGCCCAGTGCTTTGAAGATGGAAGAGACAAGATAAATGGTAACTGTTATTAGATTTAGAGACAGGGTTATGTTAAACCCAGATGGATTTACAAAAACCGCAAAGAATGTGTATTTATTGCAAATTGTTGAGAGATGTCTCATTGTATCAACTCAAAGCACAGCTCAGAAGTGCAGCTTGCTTAGGTAGGTACAATAAGAGGTTATCCCAATATAAATAAGTAAATAATAATCGTAGCAAGCTCACCAACTTTTAACATCACAGCTGGGTTTTCAAAGGAACCTACGGTACTTAGATTGTAAGCAATTTCAGGCAGGTGCCATTTTTGGCATGCGTTTCTACAACCACCACCATCCTGATTCATGATCAGGACTCTTTACTCACTACCACAATATAAATAATGAAATAATAATAATAATAATAATGGAGTTAGCTGAAGGACGATGGTAATTGGACACAGACGCCCCTTAAAGTCTTTTGAAAATCCCAAGCCACACAGAGCTGACTGCTTATCCTGATGCAGTGACACTAACATTAAGAGATGATGCTCTCAAATGGCAACTCACTCTACAACAGTAAGTCCTTCGTCATCTGACTGCGTCATCTCGTCTTCTGACTGGTCGCTGAGCAGATCACAGGGCAGGAGGGAGGAGCTGTCTGCTAGCTCTAGGACCGGGGCAATGCTGGGCCGTCTGTTACCCGAGCCATTTTCTGATGGCAGGGTCAGCTTGCTGCTGTTAACAGGGCGACATTCCGTGTTCTGCAGGTCCATGGCTACTGTACCTGGAAAGGAAGAGGGAGGAAGGACAATATAAATAGCAATAAATAATGATTCTGTCCAGTGTCTTATGCAATGGCACTGCGGGGAAGAAAGG